AGAGGGGAAAGAAAAATGGTATGATAAAAGGAAAGGAGAGGGAAAAATTATGTAAAAAATTTTTTTTTTTTTTTTTTTTTTTTTTTTTTTTTTATATAGAGAATATGCTACATTACTCTTCAAATAGGAGATTAACCCAATTTTATCCATGGAACTATTCTTGCTGTATATGCTGGAGACATCATAGGTTAGAGAAATCACCAGAAACCTTTAGCAGCAGGCTGTACAGTCACCATAAAAAACAAAGAGGTCAAGCTTATTAAGGGGAGATGGCCACATTCCATGTTTAGTTATACTTCGTGGACATGGATGCAAAATTTCAGATTTCAGACTCCTCACGATCATTAGTTAGAGCACAGAGATCATGGGGAGAAGACAGCCTTTATGGAGTACCTAAACTTGTTTCTATCATTTGTTATTGATTCAGTATGATTCTGTTAAAAATACCTACCTCTTAAGGGTACTTATTACTGCTCTTTGTTTTATTCCCTTCTCTGTTGCTGCTTACTTACTCTCTATGCTAATTTCCTTTGCTCTTTCCTCCAAATTCCATCCTGCAAAGCAACTCCTAATCATGACCCCCTCAGACATTCCATCTGCTAGTGACATCAGGAATGGAATAGTTAATATTTAACTAAGCATCTTCATTGGATTTCAGAGGAGACATGTCAACAAGATTAACAGAGAACAGGAAGTTCACACACAATTACGATTTTAGGCTGTCCATAGACTCAAACAGATGTCATGATGCTGGCTACATTCTGTGAAAGATTTTGTCTGCCATCTCAAGAGTTAGAATTTTTTCTTTTAAGTGAAAGCTTTGACTGGGCAAAATTAAGTCAGTCATTTGAGCCACAAACATGGAATGCCAATAAAAAATAAATAATGAATAAGACCAGTTCACTTAGCCTTTTATGAAGCGAGTCTGAGGGAACTGGGCTGATTTAGGTTGGAGAAGAGAAGACTGAGGTGGGATTTAATAGCGGCCTTCAACTAACTGAAGGGGGATCCAAAGAGGATGGAGCTAGACTGATCTCAGTGGTGGCAGGTGACAGAAAAAGAAGCAACGGTCTCAAGTTGCAGCAAGAGAAGTTTAGGTCAAATATTAGGAAAAACTCTCACTAGGAGGGTAAGTAAAGCACAGGAACAGGTTACCCAGAGAGGTTGTGGAATCTCCACCCCTGGAGGTTTTTAAGACCTGGGTAGACAGTCTTGGCTGAGATGATCTAGTTAGGGATTGTCCTGCTTTGAGCAGGGGGTTGGACTATATGACCTCCTGAGGTCCCTTCCAACCATAATATTCTAAGACTCTATGAATCTAATGCCAAATACATAACAAACGTGACCAGTTACCTAGCTGCCTGTGACTGGCGGAGATGAGTTCCACCTGCCTTAATGACAAGCCACTTCTACTAAATTGCAATTTGTAGGTGCACGTCATAACATACAGATATAATTCCAGATTACAGGCATAATTATCTATAATAGTTATTTTAATGTATTTTTAAACTCACCATTTTGCAGATACTCTCAAAATTAATTTCTTTTTCAAGAGCAAATTTGGTTACTTGATCTGGTTTAATTTCCTGTGGAAGAAAACATTACTTATTCTCTTTAAATATAAATAAAAACAGTATTTCATTATATAAATGTCTATTCCAAAGGGAAATCTTAGGGGTTTACTAGAGTTTGGGGCTTTCCCATTAATCTCAAAGGATAAATGATCAGTGCCTAAAAACAACAAACACAAATATTCCTCTGAATTTTATGGATGTGTTTAGTGAACTTGCTTCCAAGATTCACTAAAGCTTACTCAGGATCTGATTCTGTGTGTTGATATCATACCCATTGCAAAAATATCTGATTATACTGAAACCACTGAATGAACGGATTCTGCAAAATCATGATCTTATTTATAGAAACATTCAATTGCCTCAATGTGTGTTAAAATATAGACTGTAAAAGGTTAAGAAATGCCAATTTACCACAGACACTGAAATTACTATGAGACCTCTAAGCATATATAAATACATAGGTTTGATTAAAACCTTGAAATTGAGGTTGAAAGGGAAAACTACTTACCTGTAATTCTGCTTCACTGAAGACACCATCTGTGCAGGGTTCTCACTGTTAGATCTCAGCATTGCCATCAGGAGATGAGACCCAGCAGTGAGAAACCCAAGATAGATGCTATCTTTAGAACTCTGTTTTTCTGAACCATGCCCGCAATAAGGACAGATGTTTATAAATATGAAAAAAAATGAACATACTTGGAAGCTACATACAATCAAATAATCTTGGAAGCTACATATATTCAATAGTCAGTTTAAAGATCTTATATTGCCTTAAGCATTTTTGTCCAAGGGCACTTGAGCAAATACATCATATTACAGATCAACTGCTTGCCAGCAATCCATTTTAAAATAGATTTTATACAGCTAGGCTACATGAAGACTAAGTGACTTTTCCATGCATTTGTTGTTTTGAAAAGTACAAGTCCCTTATAAAACCCTGTAAAGGAAGAAATTGAACCATGTTTGTCAGTAGTATTCTGGTTTACCTGTTACCAGGATATTTGTAGTGCTAAGCTGTGGGAAAAATAAATCTATACACTAGGTATTCAAAATAGTAGAAATTTGGAGGCTCAAGAGATTCTTCAATGTGCTGCACTTGCACCTGGAAAACTGTTTCAAATCCAGACACCTCATTATAAGAAAGTTATTAAGTGAAGGAAGCTCAAAGCAACTAGAATGACGACTGGTCTAGAACAGGTAACAAGTAAGTAAAGACTAATATATATATACAACTAACATATATACAACAACAGGTAGGCTGTTGTTTTTCAGATAACATCTGAAAGATATAAACGTAAGACAGCAAGCCACTTCATCCTCACAAGGTTGTTATTGATCTTGGTGTCATTTTCTCTTACTTAAAAGGGCCTTCCAGACCGCTAATCGCCCCACTTCTTTCAGCTTTTTACATTTCATCATATTGCTCCCTTAGGCTAGGGACAGAAGTTACACACAAACTGGTTTAAGTGATCAGAAACCGATTTAAACCTATCACCTATCCATGGGCGACTGGTGCCGCCTTAGTCAGGGGGGGCACTGGCACTCCCGCCTGCTCCCCTGCCCATTGCCTACGTGGTGAGCGTGGCCGATCAGGGGTGCACCGGCACTCTCGGGGGGTGCACGTGCACCCCAGTGTACCCCCTACGCGTTGCCACTGAACACAACACAAGTTCAGTGCACATAAACCAGTTTCAAAATGGCTGAAACTGGGTTAAGATAAACCTGGTTGAATGCAGTATCAGACTTAACTGATTGAGGTCAAACCAGTTTATGGAACTTCTGTCCCAGACCCCTTCCTGGTTTAAGTTAAATCAGAGTCCCCTAGCTGTGCTGGGCTGTGTTGTGCTGTCTGCTCCAGAGAGTTGAGCTGCACCCACCCCTCTGCTCTCTAGCCAGAGCAGGGGCAGGGGTGTGGCCAGATACTGGTCGGGCATGGCCCCCTGAGGCAAGCAGGGTGGGGGGGGCTTATTCCCCCCTCCCTCCCCTCTCTGCTTGGGACCCCAGCTGGGTCTGGGGTCCCTCCCCCCTCGCCGCTCCAGGGGTGGGGGCATGGCCAGATTCTGGCCAGCAAGGCCCCCTGAAGCGAGGGGGGGAGGGAGGGGATTTATTCCCCCTCTCCAGCCTCTTTCCCACCGGGGAACTGCAGCTGGGGTCTGCCAGCTGCAGTGCCCCCCGCCAACTTCTGACCTGAGCCACTGCAGGTATGTGGCTGCATTTCCGGAATCAAAACATCACTGTCTATTCACTTGCTTGGCAGTACAATCTACACAGGTTAGACTAACCTGCAAAGATTGAATCAATTCACGTTCAGGCTCTTTGAATGTCTGTTCTTAGCCTTAATGTAAGACAATTTGTGTGTCCCCGTGTTTCTTTTTTAACGCCCACATTTCCAGGTAGTCTCTTTCCCTTCTTATTAATGATTCTCGTATCTTTTCTTCCTCCTAATTAATGTCCTGGCCATCCTCTTAGACTGTAAGCTAATTCAGAAAAGGAGAGCTGCATACTTTAAAACAATTAAACATAACAACCCCAGCAGCAAAGTATAACCAAGCAAAATGGTTTGAAATTAAAAGTAAAATTCATTTGATATAGAAGTCAGGAAAAACTTGCTGACAGTGAAAACCAGTAGCCTGTAAAATCATCTCCCAAAGGTACTGGTGGAAGCCCAATCACTTGGCACATTCAAAACCAGACTAGAAAAACACTAGTAAATGTAGGAAACAATTCTGCATTGGCAGGTAGACAGAGTGGATGATCTAATAGGTCTTTTCCATCTCTACATTCTATGATTCAGTTTTCCATGACTTTTCAAATATTTCCCAGATGAAGAAAATAAGTCAGAGTTGTTAAGTGATGTGCCTACAGTCACATAGCAGGTCAGCAGGCTAAGAAAGAAGAGCTCTGGCTCCCTGTGGAGTGATTTAAACAGTAGTGGTGAACCTTAAAAAAAAAAAAATAATTTTTTTTCCTGAAGTGGACCAAACCTTAATAAGAAATGGGCCAATGGGCCACATAAAAAAGCATCATAGTTCTATACTTTGACATATCCTAATATTAAGTATTTTATGTAATAGTAGAAAGGAAAGTATATATTTTAAGCAAATTGAGGCTTATTAATGCATAGTAAAAAGTTTAATAATAATATTCTATACTATTATATTTTAAACAATTAAATTTTAAAATGAAATGGTACCCTGTGCAAGCAGCAGGGACTGAGGCTGATGGACCACTGAACTGTATCAGCCTGTAAAGGAGCTAGATGCTTACCAGCTTGTAAGAAGCTGGATGTTTTCCTAGTGTTGGTGGCAAATTGCAGGAGCTAAGCAATACCGCTGCTGCTTGGTCCCTATTTTCATGCTGGGGAATTCAATGGGGGAGTGTGAGGTGAATGGCAGTGATGTTCAATTCCTGAGCTCAGGAGCTGTGTGAAAGCTGTGGCTCCATCCAGAGTGCAGTGAGCTCAGAGCTTTCAGGCAACTCTGGAGCCCTGAAGGTGAGCATCACCATCACTGCAGCTGTTTGGCTCATCAATGCATTAACTGGATTTATAATACCTAGATGTATTTGATTAAATATTAATTTGGTATTAAGAAAATTAGTTTGTTTAATATGTGGTGGTCCTTAACCATGTTTTCTTTTTCTAAATAGATACTAAGCTGCAGTAAAATGGATGAGTCAGTGCCAGTGTTTTGAATTCAAATGTTATATAAATTCAATCAGATGTAAACACTTTATAAAAACAAATTCAGAGTACACACACATACAAACCCTTTCTTTATGGTGGGGTTGTTAAAATATGGCTTGTGGACCAGATCCAGCCCAGAGGGGTTCTACCTGGTTCAGGTGCCATCTGGCCTGTGGCCCTTTTCCCTGGGCATGCAGCAGGGTGGAGGCAGCTCCACAGCTAGACTGCCTTTCTAGGCAGCCCAGGTGGTGGCAGTGGCTCCTTCCAGCTGTCACCATCACTGTCCCCAGCCCCATGGTACTGGAGGCGACCCGCACACAGACCTGACCCTGGTCCGCCCTGCACCCACTCTGGACTTGGCCTGGACTTGGAGCAGCCGAAACCTGCTTGCCCTGCCACCAGCCCACCCCATGCCTGCTCCAGACTCACCTGCAAACGCTGAGCAGTGGCAACAGCATCACTGGCCATGCAGAAGCTGCTGCTTGGCACAGGGGAGAAGAAACACCTTCCCTTCACCACTGCTGGGCCCTTCTTGCTGCAGACATCCAGAGCCCATGTCTGGGCTGCCTTGTGGCTCTTCTGCATTGCCACCACTGTTTTACTAGGTGGCCTGCATAGCAATGGAGAGGAGCCATAGGGTAGTTTGTGCATGGGCTCCAGGCACCTGTAGCAAGAAGGGCCTGACAGTGGTGAGGGGGAGGGACCGTTTTCCCCCTGTGCCAAGCAGCAGCTTCTGCCTGGCTGTTGCCCAGCATAGGCAGGTGGTCCAGAGCAATCACAGGGCAGGGCAGAGTCAAGTCTATGCATGTGGGTTTTCGCTGGTCTGGAGTGGGCACAAGGCAGGCTCGGGGTGGGGAGGAGCTGCAGGGTGTGAAGCTTCCGGGCTGCTTCAAGGGGGTGGAAGGATGGAGCAGTGCTGACTGGCCCACGGCAGCTCCCCAGAAGTGCCTGCCCCTGGGTTAGAGGTTGAGCAGTGCTGATTTAGAAAAACATCATCATATTCAGAATAATGTATTTTTCTAATTTTAACACTCCAGATGGAGAAATGTTACAATGCACATTTCAGAGAGAATTTATATACAAGAGCTTCACTCTTTCATCATTATTACTTTATGGTAAAACTATCTTAAAACTTGCAAGCAAGATTAGTTGAGAAACAGTTAGTGGTGTGGGAGAAAACTGCAGAATTCTCCACAGCAAGCAGCATTCTTTTCCCAGTGCTTACATAAAGGAAGCCTCTCCTTGAAGCATAACCTTGTCATGGTGGAGAGGTGTGTGCGTTCCAGTGATCCTCAGAGGTATGTCATCTGGAGTCTTGTACTCCTGG